TTTTTAAATTGTGCTACACATCATAGAACACTAGTCAAATGTAAACCCTCCCCTCAAACTTCTCCCCAAAAATTGGAATTCATTACCAGTGAATACCAAAGGAACTCCCGTTTGTACATCAATTCAAGACTCTTCTTAAAAATTACCTACTCACCCAAAACTAAATACTCAGTACTTAACCTTACAAAAAAAGCTACCAAATCACTCTCCACTGCCTCAAATTATAATGCCTCGCTCCCACAGGAGGGTATGAGGGCATAATAAACATTTTAAAACTAAACCATGTTACTCCCCTAGCCTCAGAACCCCAAAAGTAAATGCTCAGAATACAATTATTCTCATATTTGAACCTAATGCAAATGTTGAATAACATATTTGATAGACGTATAACCTATTGTATAATTAGTTTAACCTGATGAAACTATGTTTTGTACATTTAGTGTTAAATAACAGCAACTGTTTAAATTTTTGACGCCTGTAATGCAAGCATGGGAGTGGCTCCTTTCACTACAAATCATTTAAATCCTCACTTAAACTACCCAGTAAATATACTTCCCACAATATTCAACCACATGAAACTTGCAAGGAAATAAAAATCTCCATATGAAACAGGAACTCCACAGTGTTGTTGTATTTTTGCCTTTCAAAAAAATAGATAAGCCCTTATATCGTTGTTAACGATAACTTGCCATTTCACATTCCATAAGAAAAAAATTATCCAAAAAATAAATGTATTTTAATATTTAAAGAGAGTAGAATGTTTTTGAGTGAAGATAATGTTCATAATAAAGAACCATGAGGTGAGGGTGAGCCAAAGGCGCACTTCATGTACCAAAGGGGGCAACTTGCCAAAATGGCTACCCGCTCTCTTATTTATCACTAATGGGGGTTTCCCAAACCCACCAGTTATAAACTCGATTTTGAGGTAATAAATAATAAGTGCTTGGTGAAGGTGGGGATGATACCCGGGTGTTAATAATGGTAAATACAGGTGGTGTGGGGGTGAAAAGCAAATGTTATGATTGCTATATTCATTGAAAGTTGGGGGCGTTTCCTTATCCTTCATACCAGAGGGTGTCTCTTCTGGGGCCGAGGACCCCCCTTTATACCCTCTTATCTACACTCAAAAACCACATACGTTCATTAGGGGAAATAAAATTTTTCAGCTTGCACCACTTACCAGACTAATATTCTTTTATCTGACGAAGGAAATTTTAAGCCCCCCTCCACGTACTAAGACGAATATAGGGTCCTCATTGTTTTAATATTTCGTATTAGGGGAATATTGAACTCACAGGGTAACTAAGAAGGGTTCTGTCCACAAGCTCCGTTTGAAAGCTCTGTATGAGTTCATGAATGGTTAAATAACTGCATTTAATAATGGGGACCAGTTTCACAAATTTTTCCCGTGTGTTTTTTCCTTTAGCTTTTTCGAATCTCAAAACTAAACAGTTATTTTAAAGTACATAGTATAATAGAGGTGTGTGGTGCCTCCAACATCTTCTCGCCCAAGAGGATTCCGGTCAAATCCTGGAGTATTGAAGTAAGGGGGAAATTCCTAGCACATTTTTCTCAGTTACCCTTTGCTAAAAAAAAACCTTTGGGGTTTGTCAACTTGTGGTGCATCTTAAAAGGGGCCCAAAAAAAGAAAAACCCAAAAAAAATTACCAACTGATTGCTTTTTTTAGAGTTTTTTGGGTTAAAAAAAGACCAGCCAAAGAAGACTTTTTATTTTGATATGTCCCAAAAATGAAGGAAAACAGTTACAATTGGGTAAATTTAATTTTCTCTGGTTTTTATAGTGCATTCCTAAGAAGTGTGCTGTGTTCATTGTCAGGTGTTATACTGTTTGTAATTACATTATATGATGCCTTGTCCAGCACCAGCCAATGAGAGTAGGAAAACTTAAAATCCATCAAAGGTATGTTTAAGCAAATATGTTAAATAATTTTTATGGTATACTGTATTTGTATATATTTAAAACAGTAGTCCTCCCTATATATGTCATTTTTCGTTTACATACATACCCATGATACAGTTTAATTGATAAATTATGTACAATAAGTTGAGAATTAGCACTTTTTCACTGATGAGGACCACTTCTTGGCTTATCTTAGGCTTTGCAGACCTGCCACCATCACTGCTTTTGCACTTTGTGGCCATTATTAATCAAAATTAAGGATTGGGACATGGTAAACTGTGGATAACTGAAACTCGGGAAATAAAATGATTACAGATAAACAACTATGCATATAAATTATGTTAAGAGATAAACAGACATCCAATGCATGTATCATATACAACAGAACCCTTGTATCCATGGATTACAAGGGTTCTGTTGTATATGATAAATTCATTGGATGTCTGTTTATCTCTTAACATAATTTATATGCATAGTTGTTTATTTGTAAGAATTTGTGAAGAAATGTAGTTGCTTTAGGAATTATAATTTTTTGCACAAATGTATGAAAACTGATATTGGCATTGCTGCTGGATTAGGGAGCTTGTCTCATGTAAGCTTATAGACCCTGTTGTGTAAATTGCAGTGATGATGAAACTGAAACTTTTAAGCAGCATTGAATTTGAGCTTCATAAAATATTTTTTTTTGTATCCAAAACTAGGTAGTATTATAAAGTAATGAATCTGTTGCATAGACAAGGATGTCAGCCACAGCACCGTGTCTTCCTTTGCAGATGACACCCGAATCTGCATGACAGTGTCTTCCATTGCAGACACTGCAAAGCTCCAGGCGGACATCAACCAAATCTTTCAGTGGGCTGCAGAAAACAATATGAAGTTCAACGATGAGAAATTTCAATTACTCAGATATGGTAAACATGAGGAAATTAAATCTTCATCAGAGTACAAAACAAATTCTGGCCACAAAATAGAGCGAAACACCAACGTCAAAGACCGGGGAGTGATCATTTCGGAGGATCTCACCCTTAGGACCATAACATTGAAAATCAATCACATCTGCTAGAAAAATGACAGGATGGATAAGAGAACCTTCAAACTAGGGAGGCCAAGCCCATAAATGACACTTCTTCAGGTCACTTGTTCTATCTAGGCTGGAATAATTGCTGCACACTAACAGCACCTTTAAAGGGCAGGTGAAATTGCCGACCTAGAAAATGTACAGAAACTTTCACGGCGCGCATAACGAGATAAAACACCTCAATTAGGGGAGTGCTTGAGGTTCCTAAACCTGTATTCCCTGGAACGAAAGGAGGGAGAGATACATGATTATATACACCTGGAAAATCCTAGAGGACTAGTACCGAACTTGCACACGAAAATCACTCGCTACGAAAGCAAAAGACTTGGCAGACGATGAAACCATCCCCCCAATGAAAAGCAGGGGTGTCACTAGCACGTTAAGAGACCATACAATATGTGTCAGGGGCCCGAGACTGTTCAACTGCCTCCCAGCACACATAAGGGGGATTACCAACAGACCCCTGGCAGTCTTCAAGCTGGCACTGGACAAGCACCTAAAGTCAGTTCCGGATCAGCCGGGCTGTGGCTCGTACGTTGGTTTGCGGGCAGCCAGCAGCAACAGCCTGGTTGATCAGGCTCTGATCCACCAGGAGGCCTGGTCACAGACCGGGCCGCGGGGGCGTTGACCCCCGGAACTCTCTCCAGGTATACTCCAGGTAGTACCAGACATATTCTAATAATTTTTAAGGTTAGGCATGACTAGGTTATGTGCGGCTCATCACATTGAGTGACCAAATTTCCTTGTAAGATAAATACAATTGAATCTTTATTTATTCATGAAACAGTTAAAATGTAACTCGGATTGAATTAACTTATAAGTTAAAGAAAACCTTGTTTGTGTTTTAGTATTTTTTTTAAATTTGCAATTGTAAATAATTCTTAGTTAATGTTATCTTTTAATTTTTAGATTATTCAGATATATTTTCTTGTATATTCCATATTTCTTCTTCCTTGTATATAAACCTTTGTTGCACTATAAGTGTGTTCATTTTTACTGTATTGAAAAATATAGATCTACAAAGAACTTTTGTAAAGACATTTTGAAAAAAGAAAAACTTGGCAGGCTTATTGCAATCTGCAGTACAGGTGGTCTTAGCATTATATGATAAGACATATTCCAGGGCCATGAAGAATATAACATGGAAAATTATGAGCATAGAAATTGGAAAGTCATGTTGGGTTACCAAAGATATAATTTAGACAATTAAGGAAGGGTTGTTGAAGTATTTTTAGCATTTATAGAGGATGGAGCAGAATATGATGACCAGGCTGAGGTGAATGGAGGCAGGGTAGGGTCATCCCAAAAAAGTTTGGAAGGAGGGGTTTCTGGAGAGAGTTTCTGGAGAGAGTTCCGGGGGTCAACGCCCCCGCGGCCCGGTCTGTGACCAGGCCTCCTTAGGTCAGTGTCCCAGGATGCGACCCACACCAGTCGACTAACACCCAGGTACCCATTTTACTGATGGGGAACATAGACAACAGGTGGAAAGAAACACGTCCAATGTTTCTACTCTGGCTGGGAATCGAACCCAGGCCCTCACCGTGTGAAGCGAGAGCGTTAACCACCAGGCCACCAGAAAGGGTTGGAAGGAGAAGTAAAGGATGCTTTGAATGCTAGGTACTTCAGCTTCTAACAGACTTGTGTGAGTGTGTTAGATGAGAATAAGTGAAAAGTAATTGTTTTTATGGCTTGATGTGTTGTTGGAGTGCATTTACAAGGTAACATTTATGAAGAAATTTAGGGAAACCAATTAACCAAACTTGATTCCTGGAGGTGGGAAGTAGGGCAAAATTCTGAAGAGAGGTGGGTCACTCATGGGACTTAAGTTTGATCCAGGATCCATTTTTCGGTTTATTAATTGAGTTGTTCATTGTAACTTTAACTGGATTCACGGTATATAATGTCTGAGCCTCCCTTACTTATCCTGTTCATCACGATGTCTTGGGTGACTCAGTATTTTACTGTAGAGTATTTAAAAGTTTCTTCAGTTCTAAAATAATTTATAATTTCAGGTGCTGATGTGATGGGTGCAAGAACAGATTCTGGTTGATGACTCAAATGAATGACAAGCAACATGGATGCTGGTAAGGAGTACTAGTATATAGTTAATTTTTGCCACTAAATTACTCTGTATTTAATTCAGAATCTTGATTAATTTTGTGAGGTTATTGGTATGTGAGATTACCTGTTTATGGTATTGCCTGTTTGTAGCTACAGAAGAGCTATGGTCATTGTGTTCAAACTTTAATATTAAATGTATAAAATAATTTTATTTTAAATTTCCAGTGGTTTGCACAGTATACCCTCTCTTGTATTCCATTTGATTGTTTTATTACAATTTATGTTATTGTATTCTCATTGTACAGCTTTTCTTCTCATAATACAAATGTGGCCTCTATCAAGTACAATACTCAGTAAAGCCTTTTGTATGTTAAACATCAGTTATAGAGGTTCTTCTTGTACTATACATGTTTATTTTTAAACCATTTGCCAGCTCACAGCAGTAACCCAACCAGTATAGGAGTGCATCAGATTAGCTCTGGTCACATTTTTTTTTTTAAAGTACGGGGTAATATCTGATCAAATTGCTTTGATTTATTAGGGTAACACACACACACACACACACACACACACAAACACACACACCACACACACACACACACCCCACACACACCCACACCCCACACACACAACACAACACACAACCAAACACAAACACAAACACCAAAACACACCCCACACACACACACACACAACACACACACAACACACACACCACAACCACAATCATTCAGGGAACCTGTACACCGTGTACGTTTGGCCCATATGGAGTATGCGACACCATTGGAACCCACACCTAGCCAACAGAGAAGACTAGAGAAAGTGCAAAGGTTTGCAAAAGACAGTCCCAGAGCTAAGAGATGTCCCACGAGGAGAGGTTAAGGGAAATCAACCGACACACTGGGACAGGAGAGATAGGGGGACATGATTAACGACATACAAAATACTGAGAGGAATGACAAGGTGACAAGACAGGAGTTCCAGAGATTGGACACAGTACAAGGGGACAAAAGTGGAAGCTGAAGACAAAAGATGAATCACAGGGATGTTAGGAAGTATTATCTTCAGCCACAGAGTAGTCATAAGTAATAGTTTGGAAGCGATGTGTGAGGCAGGTTTCCATTTCATAGCTTTAAGCAGAGGTATGATAAAAGCTCACGGCTCAGGAGATGACCTAGTAGCGATCAGTAAGAGGCGGGGGCCCGGAGCTCGGACTCGACCCCCGAAACCTCAACTGGTGAGTACAGTGAGTACACACACACACACACACACACACACACACACACACACACACACACCACACACACCCCACACACACACACACACACACACACACACACAACACTCCCCACTCACACACTGGTGAAAGAAAGACTCGTTAACACACGCTAGTATTTTTAATTATTAGAATTACTCTCAGTGTTAATGTATCCTATTAGTATTACGGATACACAGAGGTGAATTGTATTTCTGGACATATAAACAACTGACGTGCTCACACACACACACCACCACATACACACTCCGGGCCAGGAGCTGGTCTCGACCCCTGAAACCACAACTAGGTGAGTACCACACCCACCTCATTCACCAGCTGATCCTTGAATTTGACCGCGTCCCTCACCCCCCCCACACACCTTTCCCTCCCCCACAGCCTTTCCCCTCCCCCGCTCTTGCCTTCACTCCCTCCTACTTTCTCTCTCCCCCCCTCCCTCGCCTTTCTCTCTCTCCTAGCCTTTTTCCCTCCCCCTTCCCCCTCTTTTCCCCCTCTCTCCCCTCTCTCCCCTCTCTCCCCTCCCCTCCCCCTCTCTCTCTCCCCCTTCTCCCCCTCTCCCCCTCCCCCCCCTCTCTCCCCCTCTCTCCCCCCCCTCCCCCCCTCCCCCCTCTCCCCCCTCCCCCCCCCCCTCCCCCCCTCCCCTCCCCCCTCTCCCCCCCTCTCCCCCCCTCTCCCCCTCCCCCCTCTCCCCCCTCTCTCTCCCCCTCTCTCACCCCTCCCTCCCCCTCTCTCTCTCCCCCTCTCCCTCCCTCTCCCTCCCTCTCCCCTCTTTTCCCCCCTCTCTCCCTCTCTCCCCCCTCCCCCCTCCCTCTCCCCCCTCTTTTCCCCCCTCTCCCCTCCCTCTCCCTCCCTCCCCCTCCCTCTCCCTCTCTCCCCCTCTCTCCCCCCCTCTCTCCCCTCTCTCCCCCCTCTCCCCCTCTCCCCCTCTCTCCCCCTCTCTCTCCCCCTCTCCCTCTCCCCCTCTCTCCCCTCCTCTCCTCCCCCCCCCCTCTCTCCCCACTTTTCTCCCTCTCTCCTCTCTTTTCTCCTCTCTCCCCCTCTCTCTCCCTCTCTCCTCCTTCTCCCCTCTCTCTCCCTCTTTCTCCCTCTCTTCTCCCTCTCTCCCTCACTTTTTCCCTCCCTTTCCCTTCCCCTCCCCTTTCCTTTCCCCTCTCTCCTCTCCTCCTCTCTCTCCTCTTCTCTCTCTCTCTCTTTCTCTCTCTCTCTCTCTCTCTCTCTCCTTAAACCCCCCTCCTTCTTCCTCTCTTCCCCAAAAAGGTTGGTCTCATCTTTTTCAACAATCAAACAAAATTTTTTTCCAAGCCTTTTCCCAAAAAATCCTTTTTTCCCCCCCTTCCCCAAACCCCTTCCAAAATGGGGGGTACACAGGATGGAAAACCCGCAAAGGGGGTTAGTGGGAACAGAGAAAAAAGGAGGGGAAAACAGTAAAACGAATGATGAAAGTCAACAAAGGTTGCCCCAAAGGGGGAAGGGAAAGTTTGGCCAAGGAAACAGGGAAAAATAGAAACCCAAAAGATCGGGTTTACTCAAAGGTTTAGGGAAGAAAAACAAGGTGCAACAGAGAATGGGGAACAGGAAAGGATAACCCAAAAAAAGGGGGGAATTAAAATAGGGGAGAGAAACGAGGGATCATACCAAAGGAAGGGAGGCCCACGGGGTTTGAGAACGATAGGTCGTAAATTCAAAATCTTGCCCGGGAAAAATGGAATACCTAGGAGGAAGACAAAGTAAACCCCTTTTAAAAAGGGAGGGAAAAAAAACCCCAAAAACTAAGAGGTATTGAGGAAATCCAAAAAATTTAAGGGAAAATTTACAGAGGGGTCAGGAAAACCTGGGGGGACAAAAAAATGGGACCCCAAGGCAAGGAAACACAACCCAAAAAATTTGGAGAATAAAAAAACGAGTGAAGGAGGAGGGGGGAGACCGACTAAAAAGGGACACGTTCCTACAAAGGAATGGAACTGACAACACCCCTTCCTAGAAGGGAGCAAGGGTAAGTTTGCGAGCAACAACCAAAAAATTTTCACAGTCCCTGGAAACGGGGCCCACCTGGGTTGGTAGGACATGTATTTTTTAAAAAGTGAGACAGAAAAGGGTTTAAAATTAAAAGTGTCCCATGTTTAGATGAAAATTATGAGGAAAAATTATCAGAGGAAGGGTGAGACCTGGAAGAACAGGTCAAGCCAAAGGGCCTTTTTGGGAAAAATCCTGCCAAATTCAAATTTTAGATAAAAACAGAAGAAGACCGAAGAAGGGGTGGGATTTCACCTCACTCAAAGAAGGCTTTGAGTTCTCACCGAGATAGTTCCGAAGCAACATCACCAATATAACGGAAGGGCCTGGGAATGGACAGAAGAAAACCTGAAGGGTAAAAACAACAACCAGTATGGTACCCTATGGGGTATCCAGTGGGGACCTGTTTGAACCCCACATCTCCTAGACCAGTCTAGGTAAGTAAAAAAGTGGGCAAGGAGTTAGACTAAGGGGGTGTCCCCTTTAAGAAAGTTAAGGGAAATTAAACTGTGAGGACCAGGGCAAAGGGCTTCCAAAAGACCTGGAAAGACCTGGACAAACAATGGTCCAGACAAAGGCCCAATTTAATTGAAATCAAAAGTCAAGATGATATAGGGAAGCACCAGAAAGGAACAGAAACCGAGAAAAGGCTAGGTGGGCCAGGAAACCTCACTTAAAGAAGGTTGGGTGATAAACCAGGAGCGGGGGAAAAACCCATACAACCGATAACGGGGCAGAGCATAGCCTGGAAACCTGAAACCCCAATTGATACCTTTGGGGAGGAACTTCCCGACACGTCACCCTTGGGAATTAAGCCAATGAATGACATGGTTTAGGGAACCCGCACTGAAAAAATGTCAAAAAACTGGAAAGTCAAAAGGGTTTGTGACAAGGATTTCCAACTAAGGGGAATGTCCTATGTAGAAAGAGGGACCTGACGACCGGAAAGGAGGGCCAGAGGGAGACCTTTAACCACATATAAAATAGGTGATAACCCAATTTTCAAGACAGGTGTTCCAGCCCCAGCCGCCCGGCCCAATTTGGGTTTGGCCCCTTGTCATGGGTTTGTGTGTTTTTTCTTCTCTGAGTTGTCGTTGGTCCCTGTTTTTCTGTAGGCCGCTCTCCGTTTTTTTCGTTGTTTGTGCTCTTGCGCGGAAAGGGGCCCGTCCCTGGGCGGGGCCCCCCCCCGCCCCTGAAAACCCCTGGTTGGTCTGTTCCCTCCCACTTTTGGGGTCGTTTTGGGGGGTTTGTTTTTCGTCCGGTTGTCGGGGTGGTTCCCCGGGGGTGTGTTGGGGGGGGTCCTTCTCGGGGTTTTCTCGGGTTTTTGGGGGGTTTCCCCCTTGCCCCCTGGGGCCCGGGCTTCTGCCCTTCCCCCCTAGGGGGTTCTGGGTTCCCTCTTCTTTCTCCTTTCTCTGTTCTCTCATCTCCCTTTCCCCCCCTCTTTCCTCTTTTTTCTCTATCTCTGTCTCTCTGTCGCTCTGTCTCTGTCTCTGTGTGTCTGCCCTCTGTGTGTCTGTCTCTCTGTGCTGCCCCCTCTGTGTTCTGTCTCTATCTGTCTGTATCTGTCTCTCTCGTCTCTGTCTGTCTGTCTCTGTCTCTGTCTCTCTCTCTGTCTCTGTCTCTGTCTGCCCTCTGTCTGTCTCTGTCTGTCCTCTGTCTCTGTCTGTCTCTGTCTCTCTCGGGCTCTGTCTCTCTCTGTCTCTGTCTCTCTCTGTCTCTGTCTCTCTCTGTCTCTGTCTCTCTCTGTCTCTGTCTCTCTCTGTCTCTGTCTCTCTCTGTCTCTGTCTCTCTCTCTGTCTCTGTCTCTCTCTGTCTGTCTCTGTCTCTCTCTGTCTCGTCTCTGTCTCTCTCTGTCTGTCTCTGTCTCTCTCTGTCTGTCTCTGTCTCTCTCTGTCTCCCTGTCTCTCTCTGTCGTCTGTCTGTCTGTCTGTCTGTCTGTCTGTCTGTCTCTGTCTCTCTCTCTCTGTCTCTCTCTGTCTCTCTCTCTCTCGTCTCTCTCTCTGTCTCTCTCTCTGTCTCTCTCTCTGTCTCTCTCTCTGTCTCTCTGTCTCTCTCTCTGTCTCTCTGTCTCGTCTCTCTCTTCTCTCTCTCTCTCTCCTTCTCTCTCTCTCTCTCTCTCTCTTCTCTCTCTCTCTCTCTCTCTCTCTCTGTCTCTGTCTCTCTCTGTCTCTCTCTCCTGTCTCTCTCTCTCTGTCTCTCTCTCTCTTCTCTCTGTTCTCCTCTGTCTCTCTCTCTCTCCTCTCTCTCTCTCTCTCTCTCTCTCTCTCTCTCTCTCTCTCTCTCCTCTCTCTCTCTCTCTCTCCTCTCTCTCTCTCTCTCTCTCCTCCCTCCCTCCCCCCCTCTCTTCCACCCTCCCTCTCTTCCACTCTCCCTCTCCTCCCCATTTTCATCCATTTTATTAAGGTAGTTAATGGTGCTACTGCTTCTCTTGCTGTTGATCCAAGGAATTGGATCAGGATCAAACCTGATTGCCTCCCATTTTACAAGTGATGTATGACCTATAATCTTAACATTTCCTCGTGAATATATTAAGTCTCCCCTGATTTGTGCAGTTGAATTGTTCCTAGGCCCATAGCTGCTCAGTCTTTCTATCATCTTTTAATTCTGTATAATAAAAATCTTTAATTCATTTTTGCGAACAACATGCTGATTGCATACAAGCAGTGTGTATCGCTCGTATGGAATTACTGATTACAGCTGGACATCTCATTACAGCAAATTTACAAAATGTGAACCTGCATAAAGCAAGGGAACTCTGCATTAATAATATGATCATCATTAATCATCAATCATCCATCATCAGTAATCATTAATATTCATTGTGGCTTATCTGTAATCCTTGTCGTGCTGAATATGCAAGGAGAAACTACAGCCTCATCAAAAGTGTTTGCAGTAACTTTTGTTGAGAATGATGATCTTGATTCATAATTTTTTTTTTTGCATGTGATAATTTTTGTGTGCAAATTGTAAATACATTATGATATGCAGTTAAAAACCATGAAAGCTTACTCCAATAAAGGAATTAAGATTAATACATGCCTAATGAATGGTACAATAATTTGACCTTCCCTATAGCTCGCAGAAATCAGGACATTCGGAAGATGCTGAACCCAGACTCCCGGTCTCTCATGGGTAATCCTTTTATTAATCTCTTCCTACTTTGGTTGATTTTCTTAAAGTGGCTTATTGTTAATAATACTTAAAAGTTTGTTATTTTTAATGCCTATCCTTGAATGGTTTTAATTTTACACACCATTGCTATTTATGATAATTTCAGAGCTTAATTGTGGACCTGCACCCGCTGTTGCTGATGATTGTTTTGCTTGATTCCATTAGCTGGCAGATACCATACATGAAGAGCTGTTGTGCCGAATATTTTCCACTAGTGGTTTTTATGGAGAAGCTCCATTTCATATTTGAATTACGTTTGCACATATAATCTGCACTTAAGAGACTGAAGCAGTTTAAAAATATTGTATATTCAGTTTTTTATTGAGACTTGAATGTTTTGTAAAACTCTATAAAAACATTTATAGTAGACCCCCGGTTTTCGTAATTGATACATTCCAGAAGGTTTGCCTAAATCCGAAATGGTCAATAACCGAAGTAATTACTATTTCCCATAAGAAATAATGTAAATCCAATTCATCCGTTCCAGACACCAAAAAATATTAAAAAAAATACGTTTTTTAAAAAATTACAGTTTTGCATACAAAAAAAAAAACAATGAGGAATAAATATAAAGCAATAAATTTAATGATAAATGAACATTAGATACCTTTATTGAAGACTCTTGTTGGCATTTGGAAGAAGGTGAGGAGAGAAGAGGGAGGAGAGTTTATTCTTTGGAAGAGAATCCCCCCTCCATAAGGATTTAAGGTATCAAAGCCCTTACTGGGATTACTTCCCTTCTTTGTCTTTTACTGCCACTAGGACTAGCTTGAGAGTCACTGTACCCCTGTTACACAAAAAATCCGTCCAGAGAGGTCTGTTTCTGGCGTCTCTGTAAGATTTGCCTAAAATGGGACAAGACACTGTCATTGAACATGTTGCAGATATGGTTTGCAACAGTTTTGTTAGGGTGATAATTCTCCGCAAAACATTGCACCTCTCTCCACTTTGCACAAATATCCTTAATCACTGAAGAAGGCACATTCTCCCCCCTCTCTTCCTCCTCTGAAGCAATATCCTCAGCTGCAGTCTATTGCTGTTCCAGTTGAAGGTGTTGCAGCTCTTCAGTGGTTAGCTCTTCCCTGTGGTCCTCCACCAACTCTTCCACAAACTGGCTACTCGCATCCAACCCCATGGACTTCCCCAATGCCACAATAAATTCCACAATAGGCATAGGGTTGTCAGGGTCAGCCTCAAGCCTTTCAAAATCCTTCTCTTGGACACATTCTGGCCACAATTTTCTCCAAGCAGAGTTCAAAGTTCTGGAAGCCACTCCCTGCCAAGCCTTATCTATAAGGGTTATGCAATTGAAGATACCGAAGTGATCCCTCCAGAACTCTCTTAGGGTCAGTTCAGTGTCCGAGGTCACTTCAAAGCACCTTTGAATCATTGCTTTGGTGTACAGTTTTTTGAAGTTTGAAATGACCTGCTGGTCCATGGGCTGGATAAGAGGAGTGGTATTAGGATGCAAGAACTTTACTGTGATGAAATTACACTCCTCAAACAATAGGTCCTCCAAGTCTGGAGGATGAGCAGAAGCATTGTCCATTACCAGGAGGCACTTAAGTGGCAAATTATTTTCCAGGCGGTATTTCTTCACACTCGGGCCAAACACTTCATGGACCCAGTCAAGAAAAATTAGCCTCGTGACCCATGCCTTATTAGCTTTCCACATCACACACACTTTACTCTTGATGACATTGTTTTTCTTGAACACTCTGGGATTTTTCAGAGTGATACACCAATAAAGGCTTCTCTTTGAAATCTCCACTAGCGTTACTACAGAACAAGAGAGTTAACCTATCCTTCATAGGCTTGTGTCCTGGCAGTTCCTTTTCCTCCTTCATGATGTAGGTCCTCTTTGGCATTTTCTTCCAAAAGAGGCCTGTTTTGTCAAACACTTGTTGGGGGAGGAACCCTTCAGCCTCTATATACCCCTTGAATTCATCAATGAATGCTTTGGGAGCACGTTTGTCAGAACTTGCAGTCTCGCCGTGCCTTACCACACTGTGTATTCCACTTCGCTTGAATCTGTTGAACCAGCCTTTGCTGGCCTTAAGTTCACCAACAGCAGAACTCGTTCCCAGCATTTTCTTTACGAGATCCACATGCAACTGCCTTGCTTTCTCACAAATTATCCCCTCCGAATCACTATCTCTCACTAATTGTTTCTCATTGATCCACACCAACAACTTCTCCACATCCTCGATTGTTTGAGACCTCTGTTTCGTTAACATATTTGCACCTTTCGCAACATCAGCTTCCTTGATTTCTGCTTTCTTCATCAGGATGGAACTGATTGTTGATGTCAATTTACCATACATCCTGGCGAGCTCCGCCACATGTACTCCACTTTCGTATTTTGCTATAACTTCTTGAATTCTATCGTGTTTCTCGCCTTCTTTACCAAAGGGCTGGCACTCTAAACTTTCTTTGGCCCCATGGTGGCTTATTTCACAGTCAATAAACAAGCACAAAAACAATGGATGAAGGCACGGAGTACTCCTTACTGGACGAGAGAGAGAAAGAGAGACTGACTGATACGTGAGAGGTAGCGCATCCGGCGACTGGGTGGACGCGTCTCAAACCATCTGTTTCCGAGCGGGTCCATGAAATCCGGGGGAAATTTCGCCGAAAAAGTGCTAGATTTCTGAATTGGCCAATTTCCGCCCTGGCCTAAAACCGGGGGTCCACTGTATATATTTTTAATGATTAGGATTGGGGTAAGCTAATTATCAGTTTGAGTCCTTTGGCAAAAGGAAGTGATGTGAGATATGGTTCATGGTGTATTTGTAATAATGAATGTCTAAACTGGCACCTTATTAATTTTCTTTTACAACTTTATCACTCTAAATTTGCTAGCTTTAGTATGACAAAATACTCTGAATTCATAAAACCTTCATGTAAATGACATACATGATTCCTAGCCAGTGTCTCTTGGAGTGGTGTTTTATCTTGTTTATATACATGATGTAGACATGTCGTGGCATCCTTATTATGGATTCGTTGGAGATACCTCAAATGTGTATCAAGGGTAGGATAATAAGACGTATGTAATTTGTGTCATTTTATTGAGAAGACGTTTTGTCCACCAGGGACTTATCAGTTCTCTCAGTTTCAATCAGTTCATGATAATTAATAAGTCAGTGGTGGATGAAATATCTTCTCAGTAATATGCCATAAACTTCATATTGTGTCTTATTAACATCCCTCAAATGGTTAGCATTTGAGGAATATAAAAAATTATTTTTATTGGAATAAAGAGCTATTAGGGATAATATATTTTTTAAGCTCTAACCATTTACCTGAAAAAGCATTGTCCATTACTGTGAATAATAAGTTTTCAAAAAAATTTGTCAGAAGATGATCAGAGAATAAAATCAGATTGCACATGTTTAGTTAAGATAATGAAGCGACATCCTTGGATCCTCATGACGTACTGCCAGTAATAGCGAAGACAAGATGCATGGCAGAACTAGCTTTTATTGGGGCAATGTTTTGCACTGTAAACCTTTATCAAATCATGACTTGATAAAGCTCTGCACAGTGAAATGTTTTCTCATCTTTAGCAGGTTCCACAATGTCTTCAGTTCACAAAATAGACCACAAACGTCCATTAGTTTCAGTTTATCCTAAGCTAATATATACGGTAATTATTCGAAGCTGCCATGCCTTCAGAATTATCATAGTTATTCCGGTAAGAGCATTATTTCAATGTACCTGAATGTTTCCCTGAATATTTACACCTAAATATAGTTTTAAAGATAACTCCAAAAGTTAGAATTTGTTATTCAATATGTTATCCTTAATAGAATACCAGCACTAAGGGAAGTTCCGTTTTTGAAATCTCTGAATAACTAGTATTGGTGTTCATTAATGGTGTTTAAGTAGCCAGTAGTCTAACATTAATGTTCCTTACTGATTTACTTTATATCTGTGTTTATGCCTTGATGACCCTTTAGAAACATAATTTGCATATCCCTATCTGTTCTCATGAAACAAAAAGAACTGTAGTGGAGTATCATGCATGATTTAGCTCAGTATTCTTGCTTAAAGAAGTCTTCTATCTTGTTTCCTACAGGTTTTCAGGTTGTACTCAGTGGTTTTCTCGTAACCAAATCTCTCTTCTTCATGGTCGAATTTTCTTACGTAAATATTAACCAGATTTAGTGATATATTAAAAGAGATGGTCTCTGAAATGCAGATTAAACCCTCAAGTATTATTTTATATTTGCTATTTTTTATATTTGAGGGACTTCTTGAAATGTAATTGCTATGAATTTGGGGGTCTCTATATGTAATCATTGATAGTCCATGCTTTTAGCTTTTGTACTGGGTAGAGTAACCATCAGCTTGGCTATGGCGAGATTAATTCTGATCCTCTGGGCATCTGCCTTGACATGACCTGGACTATAAACAGGTCAAGTGATATCCTTTTGTACATAGTAGGAAAGGCATGGCATGTTGTTATGACTTAATGCCAGTATGAATATATTACCAGCCATAAATTGACCAAGAAGTGGGAGGGGATACCTCCATTACAATAATCAAATTTTTGTATAATTCCAGGCAAAAGTCTGGGGTATAATTTCAGTCCATACAGATTGGAATATATCAGTTTATTTTTTTAATTTCTTTTGAGGAACTTGATGGCACTGCTAATAGTGTATATACTGTAAATTGTTTATCTCCCTTGGAGTTGCATGTTCTTGTTAGATCTATATGAGAGTGACTCCACCAATGGTGACATCATATTAATGTATTGGTAATTAAACTTAAAAATTTGCAGCATTAATACAAGTAAGCAGAACCCTCCAGTGGAAGTAAGTCATACCCAAGTTTTGGGTCAGAGGCTAGCAAGTTAGCATATTAAATGTTAAATCAGATTCAAGAAGTATTTTTTAATTATGTTTTTGAAGCTATTGGAAGATAGTTTTTGTAATCCTTCAGATGGGTTGTTC